GAAAGTGGTGAATGACATTACGAGTATTTTAGATAATAAGCAGAGTTGTGCAGCTCTATTTATGGACCTTTCCAAAGCATTTGACACCATTGATTATCGCATTTTGAAGCAGAGGCTACTCAGTATTGGCATATCCAGCCATGCAGTGGGGTGGTTTGTGAACTACCTCTCTGAAAGGTCCCAATGTGTTCATTTTTGATGGGCTGTCTTCTGAGTGGTTAAACATTGCTAATGGTGTTCCTCAAGGTTCTGTTTTAGGTCTACTTTTATTCTCCGTATATATCAACAGTTTAGGTGAAAATGTGAATGAAGCTACTTTACATTTTTATGCGGACGATACCGTGATGTACTGTGCAGGTCCCTCCATTCAGGAGGCTGGTGTTAAATTACAGGCTGTTTTTAACATTATTCAGACTCAGCTCGCTGAGCTTAAGCTTCTTTTAAATGTTGATAAAACCAAGGTAATGCTCTTTTCTAAAGCTAAAAAGACTACAGACACTGCTTTGGATATTGTTACTATGCAAGGAAAAGTACTCAAAGTGGTTACCTGTTATAAATACCTATCATGCTTGATGATTGTCTTACTTTTAAACTTCAGGTCATTGATCTGCTTAAAAAGCTGAGGGTTAGGCTAGGTTTCTTTTTCAGAAACAAGTCCTGTTTCTCATTTGAAGCCAGGAAAAGGCTAGTCACTGTGACCTTTTTACCTGTGCTGGACTATGGTGATTTGTTCTATATGAATGCACCTGCCCATTGCCTGAAGAAGTTACATGCCGCCTATCACAGTGCTCTGAGATTTGTTACTAACTGTAAAGCACTTACTCATCACTGTACCCTGTATGCCAGGGCAGGTCTGCCTTCACTAACTGTACAGAGGCTCAGTATATGGTACATGTTCATCTATAAAGCCATGTTGGGTAAACTACCTTTTTATATCTGCTCTCTGATCTCTCGACAAATTGAAAGTACTTATTGCCTGAGATCTCATGATGTTGTTTTATTAAATGTGCCAAGTGCTAGGACTGTCTTAGGGAAGAAAGCTTTTAGTTGTGCAGCTCCACTAAATTGGAACAGTCTGCAAACATGTTTAAAACTGAGCACTTTGGTTCCTCTGCATCATTTTAAAACTCGGCTGGGTGACATGCTGTTTGATACTCATGGTACCTGTCACTGTAAATAGAGTTTGTAAACTGTACCCTGTACATTATGTTGTATGTCATCCTTATTGTTGTTCTGTTGTTTTTATGTTACATGTGTAACTAATGTCCTGCAGGTCACCCTTGAAAAAGAGATCTTCTGATCTCAAGGGGCTTTCACCTGGTTAAATAAAGGCTACAAACAAACAAGAGAAATAGTTTCCTTATAGCCAATTTATCTGAAGGTGAGCGTACACTTTTTTCATTTAAAGTTCCTCTGACCAAATTCCAGAGATTTGTGTTCAAGCAATTTAGAGAAGTGAAGGAACCTGGAATATACAAGTATAATGGGATTGACATAAGGAAATAGTTTTGCTCAAATTACTTCCATGTCTGCTGTTTGTCTCCAGGAAGTTTGATGATTTATCACGCTTGAAACTAATAATGATTCTGAGTAATTGTAATAATAATAATACAATTAATAGGCCTACTGTGAAAATGTCATTTAAATTTCAAGATGCAATCGTCATACTTTCAGCACCTTCTCATAGTCAATGAATTCATACTGCATGTGCGCGAATGCATAACAAATACCGTATGAACGTGACAAAGCAGAAATATGGTTAACCCTAATGCAAGATGGTACTAAACTCCAAACAGACTCGGATAGAAGCAAAAAAGGCTGACAGTAGGAATGTCCTGCATAAAAAAAGGCTAATCAAATTCAATATATCAGACTGATAAAGACATGGACGCACCCACATACCGTCAGATTGAAAAGATAAAAGCTAGTTCACCACCTCTCCCTTTGAGGAGCAGACATGTTGCTGGTGAATATTGTAATTAGACCACCAGCACCTCTTAAAGCTCTTGTGGCATGCCTGGTAGGAAGTGGTTTTAACATCTATTACAGTAGGCCACCAGTAAAATACCTTTTCCTCCTTCTGCCTCGTGTGTGGTACTTATTCTCCTTTATCTCATGTTTCCGGCAGTAAAATTAAACGCGTGCTGTTCATAACATAAACATGCAACCAGTAACACCAGTAGGCCTGTTTGTTTGATCCCAGATGATTCCAGCTGTGCGGCTGACTTGGTGTTTGACTTTCGGGAAGAACGGTTATGTTATGTAGATACACACTCATGTGCTCAGCTTTTTTGATGTGGTTAGCTTAGAGTAGATGTGTATTGAGTTTTAAGATAAGATAAGATAAACTCTTTTGATCCCAATTTGGCAAAGCAGCATCTAAACAAGAGTATTAAATAAACAGACATAAATAGAAAAGAGAAACATCTCAAAATAGAAAAAAAAACATAACTAAAGAGTAACATATATTCATATTGATAGTGAAAGATATATATTTGAAGACTATCTGTACACTATGAACATTACAGCTAACAAATATAAAAGAAGGACATTGAAAGTGCATGAAATAGGAATATTTTTTCAGAAATGGTTCACTAACTCACTCTTAGTAAGGGTGTCGTTGATGCGGAAGCTGCACCGGACCTTATCGACGTTGCTGGCGTGAAGAAACCCATTTCCTCTCACCACTACTTGGAAAGACTCTAAGGAAATACAGGAGGAACACAAACATCTACAGATAGGCTTCATATCTGGTTTAAATTAACACGAAAACATGTCATCATGTAAGAACATTATGTGACACTCTCAACAAGACCTGGTCGTTTTGGCAGAGCGAAACAAACACATGTCAGTATTATGCTCAACACATGTCGTAATAAGACCCTCTGACAGTAACATTATATTGTGATTTAATCAATTGACTTCTTGAACTGAAAACTGGGGACCTATTATTGTCAGATCTATTCATGTCTAATCGTGTTTACTAAAGCTGCAGCATATTTTTTGAATAATGCCATTATCATTATATTACAGTTATGTATGCTCTGCAGAACTATGTCTCATGAATTGTGTGAGAGTAGAGTTTATTTGCAAGATATCTGACATGAATTTCATCACTAGATCCTTTTGACCCCAAACTTAAGTAAAGTTACTGTATTTAGGATTACATACTGTACATGTATTGGCCTGAACATGAAAGCTAATATGTTTTTATATATTGCTCATATAACAACATATAAATCACAAAATGATTCCTTGTTATGTGTTTTGCATCACCTGTTTCAAATGTGCACAAATTGTAGCAAATGGAAAGATTACCATAGATACATAAGATTTTAACATTTAACATACAAGGTCAACTATGATGTGCAACTGTCTTGATTTATGTATTAAGTCGCCTAATGAGGATGTTCTTTTTGTCTTACCTCCTGCACAGATACTAGAGGGCTCTGCAGCCAGGATCTCAATACACGACTTCTTCAGGATCTGAGGAGAGGAAAAACACATTTGAGTAAGTAGCCAGCTATTCTCAGATGGACAAGAAAAATATAGCCCTTACTCGTGAATTCATTGCAATTTGAGGATAATATTCTGGTATTGTTATTTAGTGTGTTTGTTTTTTAATCTTCTACACTGGAATTTTAATTAAAGTGCAAGATGCCATCTTCATATTTCAGTGCCTCTTCATAGCTAATAAGTACTCCATCATGCCTAAAAGCACAGTATAAATGTAAGAAAGCAGGAAAAATGGTTAACTATTATGCAAGGTGGTACTAAACTCTTCAGGAACAACACATTTCAGCATCCAGCAGTCAAATAACAGACGGACAAGAAGACTTTTAAATATATAGTCCTTACTCACATCTTCAGTTCAATTTGACTATAATATACTGGTATACTGTTATGGAGGGTATTTGTGTCGCTGAGTGACTGGTTTCAGCCACACCTCTGACTTTTATCTGCCTATTAATTAACCTTTTGACACTGGGGTCTCTGGTCTTGAAGTTTCCGTCTATTCTCATTTGTCTTTTGCAGATTGATGTGTACTCACTGCTCTCCAGGAGCATGCCAACTGTAACCTAGAGAGTACTAAGAAGTCTGGTTTATGACCCACTGCTCGACTCACATACATGAGAAATCTGATCCAGATGACAGTCAGCCTTTGACCCTGCTCAACAAACAGTGAAAACAGACCCTAACAACAAGCAGGTTTTTGGCGTCTTAAGAGATACAGATTAGCTATGATCATATTTGGATAGACGTGTGCTGCGTTGATCAAAAGCAGGATAGTCACAGTCGCAGCAGGTTTTCCTGGAAGTCTGTCCCTGGCCGGGCTCCATGGATGAAATCATTTATCGTGATTTCAATCGATTTTGTCTTATTTTCTGTTTACAGTACATTAAAGCAAGATGATTTATTGTGGTCCTCTACGAGACATTACTTTTGTAGCACTCCTCAATGGTATTATAGGTATTATTGTCAACACAACAACAACAAGCGCTGTTTGAACATTTTAGAGAAAAATAACTAAGTGCTCACCGAGTCAATCACCCCTTGCAAGGCTTCAAATCCATCATTTACGGGGAAGACATGATCCTTGCTGTCAGCAATATTTGCCAGCTGGAGAGGAAACAAGTTATCACAATCACATGAGACAACGGCACCCTTATTTATCCAACACACAGATTTAGTTAAGCTTACAGCATAATTGATTACAGGAGTGGCTCATATGATATTACCTCATTTCCTAGAGTAACAAGACAAGCTACATAATGGAGGAAAGAAAAGGTTCACACTGTAATCATTACTCTACCAAAAACAAGGATGCTGTATAAAGTGGATTAAAGCATTTGATGTGCAGCTGATGTCCTTTTTGGAAACATTGACTTCCATTCACTGGGAAGAGAGTTTGAGTTTTGAAGGCTCATTTGCCAGTGTCTCATGGTTCTATAAAGTGTAATGACTGATATAAGTGGCCTATTTGTTTTTAAAATGGGGGAAAATAGGCCTTTAAGTAATGAAGGGCACTTTATCACCACTAAAACACTGTTTTATTCATTTCTAAGGTACATTCTTTTCAAAAGGTTTGATTTACAAAGCTTTAAATTCCCACTTGTCCAACCATTCAACTCCCTTACCGCTTTGACATCATGATAAATGAAGGTACAGACTCAAACAATATAAAAAAAGCACACCTGTGTCTCATTGAAGTCCTTCACCCCCACGCAGTAAACCGAGGCACCCAGGCTTCGAGAACGGTTCGCCTGTTAAGTTTTACACAGATTCACAGCGAAAACAGGAAAAAGCTCAGCACCTGGTTTTAATTACACTTTTGCTTAACATCATCCAAAACAATCGGAAAATGCAAGTGAAATTGTGCATCACCATTCGTGAATTCGTGAATAATACTTTTGAGACGTCATATATATATAAAACACCAATGTCACACGGATGCCTGAAGGCTAAACGGAAAACACAAGCCATATCATAGGTTTACAAGTTGTAATGCCTGTGACTAATGGTGCTGACACTGGCTTCAGTAAGAACTCCCACGGCCGTAAAGTGGACATTTCCAGCTTCTGGAAACGTCACCCCACTATATGTCTGCCGTCAACATGTGTGTGAGGGCTCTCAAAGCTGATTAAAGCCTCAGACTCTCACACACCTCAGAGCCTGAATGGTCCGGGGAGGAAATACATCTTTAGATCCCAGTGCAGATGTGAGGAGAACGACTGGGCTCGGATGTATAAATCTGACGCCCTGACCTCACTTTTCCAAGACTGAAGTAAGAGGATCAAAGCGGTGATGTATAGGGTGTCAGTGTTTGATCTGGTCCATCACACGTGCAGCCTCACCTGGTTGTCATTTGTGTGAACCATTCAGCCTCTCTTAATCTCACCTCTCTCTCAGCGTAGTAGAAAAGATCCCCGTGCAGCTCTCCATCTGTCAGAGCTATGATCACACTGGCAGTGCGATAATCTGCAGACAGAAATAATTCACTGCTGAAATATCCAACTGTTATCTTATCCTATATTTTGCAGAAAACATTATTAAGATTGCGGCTATTTTGTAGTATGTCCTAATCTACTTGCTCTTCTGTTTTATGAGTTACATCCCTGAAGGCTTCCAATTTTAGAATAAACACATTCATTCATAAAGGTAGGAGTCGAAGAAAGAAATCCCAGTTGTCACTTAAGCAGTTGCTCTAAGCTTGTGAAAAAAAAAAAAACGTTTATTCAAGGTTTTAGACCCTCCAGAAAAACGCGAGTCTGCTATCGCAGAATTTACCGCATAATCAGCAAAATGGCGCAGATTTTTAAAAGGCCGCATATTTATCAAAAGCTGAGACTGCCAAGGCACACTTCCACACAAAGTTGAGGGGGAAAAAAGTTAACTCGTCATCAGCTCGTGCATCACAGAAGGTAAACAACACCGTAGAGTGAACGTGTGGAACTCACACGAGAGAGAAAACACCAAGATGA